GTCCTTCTTCATCTCTCTTAATCAGTGTTGGTTTGAAATCTACTTGATCTGCCAAGAGGATAGCTACTCCTGCTTTTTTTCGGGTTCCTGTTGCATGCAGTATTGTTTTCCACCCTTTAACTTGAATTGTACACTTTAAATGAATAAACTATATGTCAATTCTACCTCGAGTTGTTTTTAGAAAAAGATTGAAGGAGGCATCATATAGATATCAGGATCTACACAAAGTTATGGAGACAGAGAAAATGGCAAATATGTGGGTAAACAATACTTTTCTTATTTATTTATTTTTTATTTTTTTATTTTTATTTTTTTGGTACCAGGGATTGAACTCAGGACCTTGTGCTTCCAGGGCAGGCACAATGCCACTGAGCTAAATCCCCGCCCCTACTTTTCTTATTTAGAAATAATTAAAGAGGATTCCAAGTTCAAGGCCAGCCTTGGCAGCTTATGAAACTCTGCCTCAAAATTAAAAGGGCTGGGGATGTTGCTCAGTAGTGAAGCATCGTAACATGTGTGAGGCCCTGAGTTCAATTATCTCCAGTATACCAAAAAAAAGTTTCAAACAAAAATTGTAACAATTTATTTTGCATTTATAACATACATAGATGTAAAATGTATAACAGCACCAATATAGAAGGAAAATAGAAGTATATTCTTGTAACCTTCTTATACTATATACAAAGTGGTATTATTTCCCCTCCCCCCACAATTGAGGTCAAATTTAGGGCCTCAAATATGCTAGGCCAGGAATGCACCACCAAGCTACATTCCCTAAAGTGGAATATTCTTACTTAAAAGGTAGACTGTGACCAAATGTATTAATAACCCTAAACCAACACCTTAGAAAAGTGACAAGCAGCAGCCAGGTGTGGTGGCACACACCTGTAATCCCAGCACTTGGGTGGCTGAGGCAGGAGGATCACCCTGAGAGTTCAAGGCCAGCCTGGGGTACATAATGACTCCAAGGCCAGCCTGAGCTACACAGGGAGACCCTGTCTCAGTAAAGAAAGAAAGGAAAGAAAGGAAAGAAAGAAAGAAGAAAGAAAGAAAGAAAGAAAGAAAGAAAGAAAGAAAGAAAGAAAGAAAGAAAGAAAAGAAAGAAAGGCCAGGGATTTAGCTCAGTGGTTTCGACGCCTGCTACGCAAGCGCAAGGACCAGAATTCGATCCCCGGTACCAAAAAAAGAAAGAAAGAAAGAGGACAAGCAGAGAAGTACGGTTAACCACCAAGGAAGGCTGAATCATACAAATTTATCTTTTAATCCAAAAGAAGACCAAGGTGGGGGGATAAAGAAGAGGTGGGTGAAAATAACAACCATATGTACAATCACATTCATTCATTCATTCATTCATTGGAGACAGGGTCTCGCTACTGTTTGTAGTTCTGGCTGGCCTTAAACTCCTGGGGATCCTCCTGCTTCAGCCTCCCAAGTGCTAGGATTACAGACATGTGCTACCACACCAGGCACAATCACTTAAATGAAAATGTTTTAAACACCTAAATTAAAAAGAAGGGTAAAAAAGACTCAATTATTCCCTATCAACAAAAGACCCAATTTGAATACAAACATTGTTAGGATTTGTTTAGATGTTCCCCCAAAGCCTCACGAAGATGCGGTGGACTTTCTCAGAGGTAGCTGAATCTGGAATGTGTGATGCTGGGATTAAAGGCATGTGATTACTAAACTACTACATGGGAGTTAGTGGTTTAGCACCGCCCTAATCCCAGTAGTCTGGGTGGGATAAAAGAGGCAGAAAGATACGGTGAATCTCTTGTTACCTTTGGTGCGTTCGGTGCGCCTAGTTGTTTCTCCTCTGCAATGCTTGTTTGCCACAGCAGCCTAGGAGCCAGCCAATTACAGACTGAAACCTCTATGAACTGTAAGCTAAATAAATCCCTTCCCTTTTAACTTTGGGTGTCGAGTATTTTGTCTCAGCAACTAGAGAAAAGCAACTAACTCACAGATTAAAATGGGCTAAATGTAATAAGGTTCTAAAAGATATACTATGCTATCATTAACTAAAGGAAAACTAGTTACATCAAAATAGACAAAGAGAAATGGATAAAGAGGATTTCTAGAGATTGAACCTATGGCCTTGGGCATGCTAAGCAAGCATTCTGCCAATGAGGTGTAACTCCTGCCCAGATGGTCACTTCTTACCCATACAGGAGTTAATGCAAGAGGCCATCACAATCCTAAATGTTTATATACCTAACTTCAAAGTAACCGAAATAAAAACTGACAGAAAGAGAAAGAGAAACACACAAATCCACATTTATAACTGGATATTTCAATACCCTTTTTGTAACTGAAATGATCTCTTTGTTGCTCTAAGACTAGGCTGTAATAGGCCAAGACTGAGTGGATACACGGACGGGATGTGGCTAGTTTTTAAAAAAACAAAGCATCATATATGATCTTGATGCCTTTACCTAGTGGCACCATGAACAGTATTGCTAATTAGTAATTTCGGTCCTCTATGAGGAATCATTAGCATATAGATTTTCATTTTCTGCTTACTCTGAGACAGTTATATACTTACACTGAATACCTCAGAAGTGGGGTATTGATAGCTTACGGTAGTGGTTTACAAACTTAGAGTATTAGAATTACCTGAACTCATTGACATTCAGATTGCTCTGTCTCACCCCAGAATTTCTGACTCAGCAGGTTTGGGGTGGAGCCCGAGAATTTGCAATTCTAACAGTATCTCCCGTGATGCTGCTAGACCTAGGACTACACTTTGAGAATCCCTGGACTAGACTCCTTTTCATTCCTTTCTTCCCACTGATTTCTAGGCAGCTGGTCGGCTTCAAAACAAAGCAGACGCCCTAAGACATACTACCCAGGAACGTGAAAGCAACTCAGGTAAAATTGCTAAGCGGGTTCCCGATGGCCAAAGCCGCGCGAGAATTTACGTGACGGTGTCTGCGTCTGCGTCACGTCGGCGTCGAATACGTTCAGCGGAGACAGGAGCAAGATGGCGATTCCGGGCAGGCAGTGAGTGATTTGGGAGTTAGGGTCAGGCTGGGAATGAGAAGCTACGGCGGCTGTGTCTTTGGCAGAGGAGTTAAAGTGCGCCGGAAGTGAAGAGGCTGTGTTGGCAGGGATAGACACGGGAAAAAGGAGAAATCCTGAGCAACATAGATTTCCCCTCCCCCATATATTTTCCAGGATGGAAGTCCGAAGTTTGAGGGAGAAACTTGTGAGGAAATAAAGGAAGTTAGGCTGAGGGGCAGAGAGCGAGACTTTTCTATTTTCCAAAAGCTCGGTCTGAGGCCCCTCAGTCTTGCTTCCTACCCCGCGCTTGAGTTTCTCCCCGGTTGGATGGTCTCAGGGGCACTAAGAAGAGACAATTCCTGGTTTCCTGGGAGGGCCTTGTTCTCCTTGGCAGAAGCTCAACTCCTGATTCCCGCCCTCCCTTCTCATTTTAGGAATGTTATGCTGAGAAGCCACAGAAAAGGGTAGGCGTATTAGGGAATTGGGGTATACGATGCCGCAAAAGAGACAAATATTGTACGTACTTGGAAATTTACCTTTGATGTAATCCTTACTTTTGATGCGGCTTCCCATGGTCTCCACATCTGAAAGGCCAAATGAGTTGAGGCTGATGGGATGGTTCTCTCAAATGCACCAAGACAAAGCAAGAGAGCGTAATAAAGTGTGATGGGAACTTTTCTCATGGACAGCTGAGTTTCTCAGTTAAATTAATTTTTTAAAAATTGTGGGTTACAATATCCAGTAATTTCTTTAAAATTGTGTAAGTACACAGTACGGGAAAAGGAACTAGCCGTTTTGATAATTCTTAGACCACAAGGATAATTTAGAGCATTTTTATTTTTAGCAGACATGAACTAAGCTTTTCATAAATTGTTTTTTGAAACGTTGGTGTCACTTTATCATACAAGACATTTCTTGAACTCTTCATTTACTTCTCTTCCATGATAAAAATGGTGTTTGAGTTTGGCCAGTGTCCATAAATACAGTAATGAGTAATAATTATAAAAACTTGCAGCATATGAGAATTTTGAGACCATTGAAAATCAAAGTGTTATGTTCATAGGCTGTATGACATGTTTTGATATGGTAGCCTCATTTACAAGAGGTAGTGGATGTATTTTTTTACATTTAAATATAATGGAGTAATTTCTATTTCAAAAAAAATATGCAGGTATGGCCTTATTTTGCCAAAGAAAACACAGCAGTTACACCCTGTTTTGCAGAAACCATCAGTGTTTGGGAATGATTCTGATGATGATGAGGTAAGGGAACCTATGTTTTACTCTTGTTAAAAATATAAAAATTTTTAAATTAAACTTGTGAGTTTGATGTCTCTACCTTAGTTATTTCTCAGCATATTATTTTTGAAATATAATTTACAGAATTATCAAAAGGAATGTTTAAAGAAAGAAGCTCCACCAGTTTTTTTCTTTATAGACTGAGAAGTTTTTCTTTTCAGAAGCTATGAACTTCATTACTTTCAGACAATTACACAAAGTCTCTTCAGACAAGCAAAATTGATGTAACTAACCTGTTGGTAGAGTCCTAGGAATTAGCTATTAAAATGTTACCAATTTCCTAGAAATTTTTATTAACAATGTACTTTCTAATTTGTTAACCATACTTTATAAGTAACAATTTTTCATGGACATACTTTTGTGGTTATTTCTTCAGTGCGTGTTAAATGTCTGCTCAGGGCTTTTTTGTGTTTTGTTTTTTTGCTCAGTTTTAATTATGGTAGTGAATAAAGTTAACTGTGGGTAATACTATGATAATAACATCTAATATGAACATTTCTGTTTTAGCAACTGAAACAGTTTTTTCCTGTGAAACCCACTTTACAGCAGAAACAACCCCAGATGTCTGCTTAATACTTGGGTTGGTTTTTTTTTTCCCTTAAAACAAAAGCCTTTATATCAGTTAATCTCTGATACTTCTTTACTCTGGCAGAAAAAGAACTTCTCTTTGGTTTTTTACTAACTATATACTTTAAAGTAGATAGTTCCTATTTCTTTGGTTCTTTGGAAAAAAATTAGAGATCTTTTGTCCTACTTTTTTAAATTTGAGGTTAAGTTTACCTATAATAAAATTTGCATTTAAGTGTACAGGTTGATGATTTTTGGCAAATGTTTAATCCCAAATCAAGATGTAGAACTTTTCTTTCTATTCTAAAAGTTGTGCTGTGCACATCTGCAGTCTGCCTCCCCACGTTTTGCCCCAGATAACTACTCATGTGAGTTCTATCACTAGTTTTGTCTGTTCCAGAATTTCATGTAAAAGAAATCATAAAGTGTATCATACAGTGTGTCCTGCATCATACAGTGTACTACTTCGGTGAGATTCATCCATGCAGTTGTAGAAGTACTGAAAAATTTTGCTTATCTTAACAGTGACTTATGTTTTTCTCCCATTTTTTGTTTGTATTTCCTCATAAAATTTAATAAATGATTATATGAAATGAATCAAGGTTACTAGTTAAATTTCCCTATGTAGACAACTAGAATTATTTTCAAATAAAATATTGAGAAAGTTACTAATTACAGCTGTTGAATTTTTAAACTGCTCCATCAATGAGTATTTAATACTCACTGTAAGGTTAAGAGTTGATTAGTTTTGTAGCTGTAGCCTATGTGCTTCAGTCTGTGTGGCATCCTTATAGTAATTTTTGGGGTCCATATACTCACAGTTGACAATTTAAAATGGTTTGGTGTATGATTTTTTGACTTTATGAGAATGCAAAAGTAATAACCATTCAGTAGAAACATTTTGAATTTTGGTGTTTTCCCCAAGCTAGTTGTACAGTAATATCTTGCATGTTAAATTTTTCTCCCAGTACCGGAAATCGAACTCAGGACCTTGTACTTGCCAGGCAGGTGTGGAGCCACTGAGCTAAATCCCTGGCCCATATACATACATATATATTGGTACGAGCGATCGAACAACTTTGATGGGTTTATTAGGATGTAACCCCACTGTAAGCTAAGGAGTGTTTGTGTAGTGTTGCTTCTGGCCAGTTTATAGTTTAGTGAGAAAGACAGACAAGTAAACATTAATACAGAGTAGAATGAAATTTGGGAAGAAAACTAACATTGGGCTGGGGATTTAGCTCAGTGGTTCCAGCGCCTGCCTTGCAAGCGCACAAGGTCCCCAGTTTGATCCTGGGTACCAAAAAGAAAGCTAACATTGAGGATTCCTGAATGCACATTGTACTTCATTTGATCTCTATGATATAGGTATTATTCTCATTTTACAGATGAGGAAAGAGAAACTCAGGTGAAGTAATTTGTCAAAGACATGCAATTAGTATAAGCGCTGATACTAGGATTTGAACTTAGGCCTATTAGGCCCCAATCTACATACTCTTACCATTCTCTCTTAATAATAGAATTACACAATGTTAATGAGATGTAAAGGATGAAATGATTAACTTTGCTAAAGGAAAACCAGGGCATTTAAACAGCCTTCAAGGCTAGCTTAGATTTTAATGAGTAAAAAAGATAAATGTGGAGATGATTTCAGTTGGGAGAAGACAGCAAGAAATACAGAGTGGCATAAAAATGTAAGGCATTTTTGTGCAGTAATGTAGCTAGAGAGGAATGTGTTGAAGGAAAAATTTGTTGCAAATGAGGTTTTAACAGGATTGGGCTAGATTATGGAATATGTTGAGTTTTTCGTAGCAAATTTAAACTTTTTCTTTGTTAATAGTTTTTTTAGTTCAGTGGTATGATTATATTTTTATTATGAGAAGATAACTTGAATTGTGAAGCATGGAAGAGGAGAAATGAGATGAGGGTCAGTGTGCCTGTTAGAAAGTTTCTACAGTAGTTTAGGTGAAAGATGGGGACCTTAAATTCAGTGAGGTTAGTGAAAATCAAAGGGGATAAATAGGAGAAATACCAGAGATATAAATAGGATCTTACAGCCAAAGTGAATAGATACATAAGAAAGGAAAGATGAGTTGATTAAGGATTTCTATTATAGATCTCTAAGAACATTAGCACAAGAAGAATGGGAAGAGAGTTGGTATATCATATATACTTTTTAAGATTTATTTATTGGATTTTTAAAAATATGTGCAGGTTCTTTGCTCCCCACTGCGGTACTGAGGATTTAACCCAAGGCCTCACATGCACTATGCCATACCTCCAGTTTGAGGATCTTTTATTTTATATTTTAGTTTTTTAAATTCTTTTATTGGTACATTTTAGGTATACAATACGTTTACATTTATCATTGGGTGCTTGTATCTGTACATGATATATCTTGGTTCTTATTTTTTTCCCCATTACCTGTGTGCCCTTCACCCCCTCCACCCTTCCCTATTTACATAGATTTTGTTTCCATTTTTTTTCT